TGTATATTTTTACATGTATATATATTATTATTTGTTATATATTAGCCTACTGAATGTATGCTTTTAAAAAAAGATGCCGCAGAATGTGACGTCATATCACGACCGTTGAAAAGTGCGGAGAACTGTCAGTAATGCGATCTATTCCTTACTGTATCACCAGACAATTGGGTTCTTAGTTTAAACAATAGCCTACACAAAACACCTCTGAATAACAGACAGTTGTAACATCTAACAAACTTAAAGCTAATGGTAATTAACTAACGTTATATTTCACGGTCAAGAGAAACGTTTTTTTTTTTCACCATTTAATACGTTACAGCTTCGCCTAACAAAGTGCACATAAAGAGGAAATACTTATTTTAACTGTGACTGATTAAGAAATTACATCGTTGTTGTTAGAAATTTCTTAAATACTCACCCAACTTTAGCAGTAGGCTATCCGTCGAAAGTTCTGGAATGGCGGCTAAAAAGTTCCTTGCACGCAGTCCAAACAGCTCTCAGTGACATGCGCAGTAGGCGTGGTCAGGCCACAAACTTAAATTTCAGTCATTAATCCAAGTAAATTCACTCTCATTACATGTGGAACCTAGGCAATTTACATTTATTCAAAAAAATAAAAATACATCTGCTTATAAATGTATAATATTTAAATTGATCTAAAATGAGTGATTTATGGTCATCCAATGAATGCCAATGAGCACTTTTTTGAGTGTAGTTGCAGTAATTTGGATCACTTGCAGAGGTTTGACAGTCCAAGCTGGAAGACCTGCTATGAGAGCATTACAATAATCCAGTCTGGATAGAACAAGTGCTTGGATAAGGAGTTGTGTGGCATGCTCTGATAGTAAGGGCCTGATCCGAGATGGTCCTCACTGCAGATCCAGCTCCTCCCACCTTACATATACCTAAACCTACCCATTTCCGCCCCCTGATCCCTAACCCCACCCCTAATCCTACCCATCTCCATCCCTTAGATCTGGATCCAACTCCGCCCCCTGGATCTCGTGTACTGCAATGAGGTGCAACTGCCTGATCCTCCTAATGTTGTATAAGGCAAATCTGCAGGACCGGGCAGTTCTAGCAATGTGGCCTGTAAAGTTCAATTGATCATCAATCACAACTCCAAGGTTCCTGGCTGACCTTGATGAAGTTATGAATGACGAACCTAGCTGAATGGAGAAGATGTGGTGTAGTGTAGGGAAATCTTTCGATTTGCGCCACTTCCTCTCTGCACCCCTGAGTTTAGAACGATGTTCGCTGAGAACATCAGATAACCAGGGGGCAGAGGGGGTGGCGTGGGCTGGCCTGGAGGATAGGGGGCAGAAGTTGTCCAAGCAGTATGTTAAAGTGGAGAAAAGAGTATCAGTTGCACTGTTAGTATCTAGTGTTGAGAGCTGATCAGGTGGAGGAAGTGTGGATGAGACCAAAGAGGATAGGCAAGAGGGTGAGAGTGTGAGCGTAGGTTTCGCCGAAAGGTGACCTGTGGAGGAGTGTGTGTTGTGTTCTGAGGCATGTTGAGAGTGAGGAGTAAGTGGTCGGAGGTGTGCAGCGGAGTGATCAGTAGCGCGTGTAAATAAGGTCTAATTGGTTACCTGATTTGTGAGTAGCCGCAGTAGATACTCGTTTGAGGTCGAATGAGGCAAGCAGAGTGTGGAAATCAGCAGCCTGAGGCTTTTCTAGGTGGATGTTGAAGTCTCTAAGAACTACGAGAGGAGTACCATCTTCAGGGAAGGATGAGAGTAGCACTCCAAGAAACTGCCAAGTAGGATTGGGTATAATTTTTTTTTTTTTTTTTGATACCGGTGCCAAATCGATACTTTTAAAGCGATGCCGGTACCTAAGCGGTGTCTTAACCGATACTTTAAAAAAAAAAGAGAGAGCCTCAAAACGATGGTAAATGACATACTTTTTATTGAAAAACAAACAAACAAACAATTCTTAATTTAATATATTAAAATTTTAAAGTAAATATATAAATATAAGTAGTCTTATTAGAAAACACAAAAAAATTACATAACAAATTCACAATAAAACCTAAGCCAACTAACCCAAATACAATAATTTAACACTACAGTACTAACAACAGCAAAGTAGTCTTAGGGCCCTATTTTAACGATCTGAAACGCAAGTATCAAGCGTAAAGCGCAAGTAGCTTTGTGGGGGGGTCTTGGACGCTGTTGCTATTTTACCGGCGGGATAAATGACTCTTGCGCCCGACGCAAGTTTAAAAGGGGTTGGTCTGAAATAGCTTCATTATTCATAGGTGTGGTTTGGGCGTAACGTGAAATAAACCAATCAGAGCGTCATCCAACATACCCTTTAATAATTCATTACATTTATATAGCGCTTTTCTAGGCACTCAAAGCGCTTCACATGGAAGGGGGAATCTCCTCAACCAGCACCAATGTGCAGCATCCACTTGGATGATGCGACGGCAGCCATAGTGCGCCAGAACGCTCACCACACACCAGCTTACTGGTGGAGAGGACACAGAGTGATGAAGCCAATCGGTGTATATATATATATATATATATATATATATATATATATATATATGGGGATGATTAGGAGGCCATGATGGACAGAGGCCACTGGGCAAATTTGGCCAGGATGCCGGGGTTACACCCCTACTCTTTCGAAAGACATCCTGGGATTTTTAATGACCACAGAGAGTCAGGACCTCGGTTTAACGTCTCATCCGAAGGACGGTGCTCTTTGACAGTATAGTGTCCCCGTCACTATACTGGGGCGTTAGGACCCACACAGACCACAGGGTGAGCGCCCCCTGCTGGCCTCACTAACACCTCTTCCAGCAGCAACCTGGTTTTCTCAGAAGGTCTCCCATCCAGGTACTAACCAGGCTCAGCCCTGCTTAGCTTCAGTGGGCAACCAGTCTTGGGCTACAGGGTGATATGGCTGCTGGCTAAAGAGCAGGTGCGCATGTTGCAAGGCAGATTGTTATTATTATGGCGGATCTACCAGGCGCGCGCCAGGAGCGGTTCACAGCCGAGGAGACCGACGTTCTTGTCAGGGCAGTGAAAGACAGAGAAGTGACTTTGTATGGGGATGGGAGATTTTTTTTTTTTTTTTTCTGGTTCTTGACGGACAAACTAATTTGTCAGATGTCCTTATATACATATGTGTCTTGCCACTATTGGGCAAACAGGTCTGATCCGTCATTACTACAATTAGCCTGAAAAATTTGGGTAAGTGTGTAAGCTAGATTTAGGCCTACATTTTTTTACATTTTCATGGACACCACAATGATTTCCCTCATGTGTTAATATTTTTCCATGTTATAATGTATGATTTGCAAAAATAAAAACTGCTGCATCTGTGTTGATGAGAGAATCAAAGTGTATGCACGTTGTGCACCCGCTACATTATGGCCAAGCATGCGCGCTTAAAATAGCATTATGAACAACGCGCAACGCGCCACTGACTTTAGACTAGGTTTTTTCTGGTCAGTGGCGGAATTGTTTTCTGGAACTGCAAAATAGCACTAGGGAATGTTTGCGCCGAAACACGCCTCCTTTTTGCGCCGACCCGCCCAGGGAGCGCAAGTTCATTCCCTAGTTTACCGACGTGCGTCTGTGGAGGGAAAAGCCCGCTTTGCGCGGGTGCAAAATAGGAATGATACATGCGTCAGTGTACAAAGTCATTTGCGCCGGGTGCAAGATAGGGCCCTTAGTTTTCTTGTTCATTTTTTGCCTTCTCTGGCAAAATACGGCACCTCTCCTGACTTATTGGATGTCCTGCACAAGGTGAGCGTTATTTTAGAACGCATCACTTTAAATGCCGTGACGCGAAACCCACAGTTGAAGAAGAACGCCGCCATGTTTACAACTGTGACAATGAGCGCTCAGGATCAACCGAAGGCTGGATTTACAAAAGTATGTGAAGTTTACTGCTCTATTGTTGCAGTAAATTTCCACGTTCTTGAATGAATAATTTATGAGATGTACACCGGTCTGTTATTGTAGGGACATCGACTTTACATGTCCACACTAAACATGACGCGAAAAAAAAATTGGTTGCGTTACATGTCAGTCCTTGGCTGATATTTGTATTCTTAAAAACGTGTAAGTGAATGTGTTTTGTCATTTAAGAAACCTTTATTATCATGATTCATGTTAGTTGATCTATAATGCACAATGGGCGTTAGTATGCACCGCAGTTCAGAGAATTGAATCTGTCAGATTTAGGCCTAACACATCAATTCATCCACTTCTCCTGAAATACATTAAAGTAAGTGGCTGGTTAAGTGTGAGAAGAACTGAGTAAATTGTATAGTTACCTATACAACGTGTATCTAAACGCGTCATCCATTTATAATTGAAAGGATTGTTATTGCCGCTTCCATAGACATCTGTGTATTTTACTAACTATAAATGTAGTACTTATGTGTATTTAAATGTCTGAAACCTAAAATAAACCTTATGTGGCTGAAAACACTGAATAGTTGTGATATATGACAGCGCTGAGCGTCTGTCTCTCTGGCTCAGTGCCAGCCAACGCGCGAACGCAGATTTGAATTTAGAAGTTGTTGATCAAGCGATCTGAACGTTCTAATCACACCGGTGTGAACGATCGTACGCGTCAAAGGGTTAACTAGCAATCACATGCGGTGATGATGCTTGCGTCCGTTTTTTCTCCTTTCTTTTTCCCTCTGTGATTATTCTGTACTCTGTTTATGATGTATTAAGATGGAGGTATTCATTCCCCTTGGAGACCCACTGTCCTGTAGAGTTTAGCTCCAACTCTAATCAAACGCACCTGAAACAAGTAATTAAGCTCTTTAGGATCACTTGAAAATCACAGACATGCATGCTGAAGCAGGTTGGGAATAAACTTTGCCAGACATCCAGGAGAAGGCTTGAAGACCTCTTTTTTAATATATATTGGTGTTAGTCATTCCCCAGGAATGACTGTTTTAATATATATTGGTGTTAGTTACTCACAAACTTCCTGATTCAAACATGGTATTCTGATCTTTGCAGGTAGAGGAGCATGAGTGTGGGGTCGGAGTTCTGCTGCGATGCGTGCTATTGGGTGTAGGATGAACCTGCCGGCAGTGCTAAACGGCCTGCTGGTGTCAGTGGTGGCAGCCTTGCTTTGGAAATACGTTCGCCTGATTGAACACACATCTCAGTTGGAAGAGGAGCTACAGCTCACACGCCAATCACAGGAGTTCTCACAGGTGCGTATCGACTACCACGGTGCCCTGTTAGCACTCCAAGAACATGGCACCAGAATGGTCTGCACTGGGAAGATGCACACCGATCGCATCTGCCGCTTTGACTACCTCTGCTACTGCACGGAGGCTGAGGAGTTTGTATTCTTCCACAGTAATGACTCTGTGATGCTGCCCAACCTTGGCCCTCGGCGTTTCCAGCCCGCCCTGCTGGACCTCTCTTCTGTAGAAGACCACAACACTCAATACTTTAACTTTCTTGAGCTCCCGGCAGCGGCTCTGAAGTTCATGCCGAAACCTGTGTTTGTGCCAGATGTCACTCTAATTCTGAACCGATTTAACCCAGACAACCTCATGCACATTTTCCACGATGATCTTTTGCCAATCTACTACACAATGCAGCAGTATTCAGACTTGGATGACGAAGCCAGGCTTGTCTTCATGGAGGGTTGGGGTGAAGGTGCTCACTTCGATCTCTACCGTTTGCTCAGCAGTAAGCAACCACTACTCAAGATGCAGTTAAAGACCTTTGGCAAACTCATGTGCTTCACCAAGTCCTACGTAGGACTTTCAAAGATGACAACATGGTACCAATATGGCTTTGTGCAACCGCAAGGACCCAAAGCCAACATTCTGATATCGGGTAACGAGATCCGCCAGTTTGCTTCATTTTTGATGGAGAGGCTTAACATCACGCGAGAGGAGGGCGATGACTACATTGTAGTTTTTAAACGTACCACTAACAGGCTCATCCTCAACGAGGCGGAACTTCTTCTTGCTTTAGCCCAAGAGTTTCAAATGAGGACTGTCACTGTGTCTTTGGAGGAGCAGTCGTTTGATAGCATTATCCAAATAATTAGTGGGGCGTCTATGTTGGTCAGCATGCACGGAGCCCAGATGATCACCTCCATGTTCTTGCCCCGTGGTGCCGCTGTGGTTGAACTCTACCCTTATGCTGTAAACCCAGAGCAGTACACTCCCTACAAAACCTTGGCCTCCTTACCTGGCATGGACCTTCAGTATGTCGCATGGCGAAACACCATGGAAAAAAACACTGTTACATATCCCGATCGCCCCTGGGATCAGGGTGGCATCGTCCACTTGGACAAAGAGGAACAAGAACGTATCCTTGCCAGCAAGGATGTGCCAAGACATCTTTGTTGTCGTAATCCAGAGTGGCTTTTTCGCATTTACCAGGACACTTTTGTGGACATCGCCTCTTTTCTGGACGTACTCAGAGAAACTCTAAAAAAGCCTAATCTCAAAAAGGTTAAGGTGGCTAGCACTGTACATCCTGGTCGAGTCAGAGAGCCCAAGTGTCAGACGTCAGTACAGGCCACCAATGAAGCAAAGCTCTCAGTGTCATGGCAGATCCCTTGGAACCTGAAGTACTTGAAGGTTAAAGAGGTGAAATATGAGGTGTGGATCCAGGAGCAGGGAGAGAACACATATATGCCTTACATTCTGCCCCATCAGAACTACACATTCTCAGAGAACATCAAACCCTTTACCACATATTTAGTATGGGTGCGCTGTATCTTTAACAAGAACCTCTTGGGCCCGTTTGCAGATGTTCTTATATGTAAAACTTGATTCAGCAATCAGTTTAAACGTAACACTGTCACTGTCAGCTAGTGAAGAATTAATTTGAAGATTAATTCTCAGCAGATATCCTGAAAATTAAACGGTGTGACACGGGTGAATTGTTTTCGACCTTGGTAGTCATTCTTGTGACTTGACTGTTCTTCATGGTCCTTATGGAGTGTCATAAACTAACGGATAATGAAAGCCCTGGCTGCAATTAAGGTTAGAAAGGGAATCCAGTTTACAGAACTGGCCAGTCCTTTTAGATTGCGTATCATCATCCAAGCAAAGTTCTCAATTAATTTATTTATAAGAAATGTATTATGTAATTTAAATTCATATTTATAAGTTCAAGACACTGGTTTTGTCTGACACCTGCTTTTGTTAACTGAAATATTGCACACATTTCTGTGGCTTAAGTGAATTTTTTTCAAACACTGAGTGAACTCTTGTCCAAGGTTTTTTCATTGTATTTTTCATCGTTTTTAGTTATAATGAAGCATTTTGGGGGGTTTAAAAGAAGAAATGAAATACAAGAAAACTTAGAGTAAACGTTGTACTATACATTGTACTATTTTACAAATATGATACTGTTTTCTAGCTTGGGTTAATTCGTTTTTTCTGCAGTGTTGATGTTCTTTTTACTTTTTTCAACCAGCCTCAAAACCACTTATTATTTAGCCTACCTGTTCAATAGGAAATATTTGAATTTGTTTGCCAGTGAGATATCAAATTCCGCTCATGTTTGTAAGGTTTATAGAATCAAATCACAGACAGAAGACTTTCAGTAGGTATTACCTGATGATAGTCTGAGATAGTGTCCTGAAATCCGAAAAAGTCTATTCTTAGTTTGATGGCATGTCAGTAATTACCTCTATGTTAAGTAATTTGGAACCTCTATGTTAGGAGGGGTAGTATTGGTAGTAGCACTATAGTGGGCTAGTAGCACAAATAAATTAGGTTCAAATCTTGGAAAGGCCAATTCATGAAGTTACTGAGTAGAGTTACCAAGTACCTGGCTAAAAGCATTTGCTTAATGTCCAAACCTTTTATGACTGCATATGCCTTAGGCTACATGCAATATTAAAGATCTGAAGATTACTATTCATATGATATGTAAAGAAACAACTGTTTAGATATGCTTCCTATATCCTGTCATTCAACAAATGAGCGTAAAACAGCATCTATATCTGCTTTAGAGAAAGACGATGCCCGTTTCTCTTGTTTTTTTAGAAACTTGTGTTGTGCTGGCCTCTGGATAATTGAGAAGATGGAAAGTTGGAAACATATACTTTATCTCTGCCAATTATTTATTGAAGAAGACTCTGGAAAGCTATACATACTGTGGCCCAGATTTGTTAAAGGTTTCACTGTTTATTTTTGTATTTTTTTCACAGCTGTGATCAATGAATGGAACATGAGAAATTCAACAGCAAACCACAAGCGTGTTGGTCTGAATGGCCTGTCAAGGCATCTGTATTTTTTTTTTTCCTCAGTGAGGTTTTATTCTGTCCTTCACTTTGAGGACATTCTGCATCACATGGACATGGATTTAAATGATGCTAAAACAGATTAAACCAAGAACATTTCTAATTGAAATTCGGAAATGGCAAACCTGAGCCATGCAGTTTATTAGCATAACTCTGTGTTTTGATGGTAATTTTATTCAAGTACGAGGATAATAAATGAATTCTGTTTGTTATACAAAATAGCACAAATGTCCTTTGCATATATTCAGAGAAAAGCAACCTAGCATGTAAATCTTTAACCATCTTGCCTCCACTCTGAGTTGAGAAACAGTTGTGTCAGTGATTGGAAACATCTCAGATTTCGCATTCTTTCATTTCAATCATTAGATGGTAGTTTTTTGTGTGTGTGTGTTTTTTTTTTATACATAGAAACATATATATATATATATATATATATATTTATTAGGATTGCAGGCTTGGGTCCTGTAAACAGTCTCATTCCCTGAGCCAGTTCATGAGATTTACCATTATGTGCCACTGGAATGCCATACATAATTTTTGTCGGTTTTATTAAATGGACAATTTCTCAGATGTCTTTGTGAGGTCTTGTTATTTGACATGTCTGTATCCTTTATCATTATTATTATTTAATGTTGATGAATTTATTGTCTTTCAATTCAATATCTTATGTTTTTTGTAAACATTTTCTAAACCTTTAAGAAGTGCTTGCTTATTAAACTGAAATGCGTAACAGAAGCACTGGTAAATAACATTTACCCAGGTGCCATGATTAGGGGAATTTTGTCCCCCCTTTTTTGGTCAGAATGTGCAGTCTCGAAATCGCCCCTAAACCCTCATTCACTCTTCCCTACATTACTCCACTAATATGGTCCACTTGAAGGAGTGAATGAAAAAGAGTGAGTGAATTCAAACAATGAGTGTGCCAGAAGGGCTGCCGCTTTTGCATAGTTTGTGCTTGCCGTTTAATAATAATTTTAAACTTGCAGCTCCAGTATAAATGGAAAGATTTGTCTTTAACTCTGTCATGGAAACGAGCATGTTATACCCCTTTTATTTAAAGAATGTATTAATCAATTAGAAAGGATATTTACCTGTATGATATTACTCTGTACCCACATTGGACCAGCGGTTTGGAAAATGGATGGATGGATGTTTCAGTGCCATCTTCTGGCGAGATGTGGGAAATTATACGGCACAATCCTCACAGTGCATTATGGGTATTCTCTGGCCCTGATGATAATATCCACCATGGTTTCAGACACCACTACAAATGGCTGTCCCCTAAAATAGTGCCCTATGTAAAGCAGCACGGTTACTTTTCAACCTTCATAATATATTTCCAAGTCTCTTGTGATGGTACATCGACTCACAATAGGTTGAATGACACGTCTGCCATAGCCTGACGGGGTCTGTAGCGTTTTTAATCGTACTTTTAAACTTCGGGTTTCGGATAGTAACCGGCGAACAAAGAGAACTACAAAATTCGACTGCTTTACGGCATATACGTCACTTCCACCACCACCCCCACTTCCTTAAAATCGGACGTGCGAGCCAAATGTTATAGTCATGCCGAAGCAGCACAGAAAAACAAGAAAGCAAAGGTTTTATCGGAGCAAAGCAAAAAGAGAAAGTGATCGCGTTAAAGGCAGAACGAGGATCAACATTGGGCCAGCCTTTTCTCGCTGGCCCGGAGGAGGGGTGCCCGACCGATGCGGACTTGGCAAAAAATAAAATAAATCAAATGAAAGCCTATGTCTAAACGGCGTGCACAAGTTTGGTAGGGGCTACATTCTTGCAAGTAAATATATAAGATGTACAAAATCATATTTTAGGATACCTAACATGTCTGTGATATTTGTTTATTTGTCTTGCCTCAAGCTATAATGCAAATCGATTTGTAAAATTTGCAGATTCATTTATGGTAGCTTGATATTATAATATTGACGATATATGGTTATTATCTACCACTCAAACATTGCATTGAAGTATCATATAGATCCAGTAAAACGGTAACCAATAGACTAGGCTACTATAATGACGCTGGCTTGTAAACGTGATCATCGCGATCATTTGTCAGAAAAAAAAGAAAACCCATGAAATTATATTCATATGACATGCTGAAATATATGCCACTGTACCTGGGATGAAGACATTTCACACACGACGCAAGCAGAACACCTGCTTGTGACCTCCTCCTACAGAGTTCAGGGCTATCATGGTTGTCAACAATTGCACGTTCATGTAGGATGACAGAGTTTACGACAGTAGTAGAGGTCTAGAGGACAATACTGTTTCCCAACTGTAGGGGGACCCCACCCCGAGAGCAAAAGTTCCCTGGTGTTACTTTAAGGGTATAGGGGGCGATTTCGGACACAGTCCAGTATACCCACCCACCATGCCGATACAGTTTCGATTGGTTAAACTTTCAAATGACGTTTAAAACTGCGTCATGATCACGACCAGGGCCGGATTTACCTCATATTGTGACGGGCAAAAAAACAATTTTGAAGATTATTGTAGCTGTAGCTATATGAACGCTCATTTTTTTTCTGTCATTTGGACAAAATCTCACATTATAATGAAGCGTGGCTATTTTGGCTATGACTCGACGACAAATGCAAGACGCTCTTCTCCGCCCCTCAAATACATAAAAGATTAACCTTTATATTTAAAATGTTTCTTTAGTAAAGAAAACGCTGTACATATTCAAAGAACCAGTTCTTTATTGACCCTTGCATCGTAAATAAGCAGAGACAGTCCAAACTGCTTGTGGCACTTCATTCACGATAGAAATGGGGCAGAGTTTTGGTACGAGATTTGGTCACAAACTCTTTTTTAATACTTCTCATTGGTTCACAAAACCCACAGACAGGATTAAAGAGTTTTAGGTTAACTACTAATTAATCGACGATAATTTAATGACAATCGATTACGGGAATTTATGTAATTTGACATCCTTAGTTTGAACCCATTATATACAAATAATGTACGGATATATTTGATACTGTTATTGTGAAAGCATTTATAATGCTACTGCTGTCTCTTGGAGGACAGTGGAATAATCCTCGCGTCTGTGTAGTAACACATCATTTCCTCTGCTTGCTATTTTTTGCCTTTCTAATTTTGAGATCAGAATCACCGTGACCTCCAGAGCCAGATTTGTATATGGATGCTGCATCTGCCTACAGAATGGAACATGAAGGAATAGTGAATCTGATAATATACTGAGCGTCTCAATGTAGGGCAGTGTCAGTTCAAGGTGTTATGTATAGCCGAAGGGGACACTGCTGAACTGCAATGAGACGATTGAAGAGAGAGAGACTGTGCGTTGTGCTTAACATGTTGAGACCAATTCAAGGTTTCAGGCACGAAGTACAAATTACGTCAGCTTGCTCTGAACTCATTAAACTAAACACAAAATGGCATGGTGGTTTTATTTTTCCATTCTTAAGGAATCTTTAGAAATTTGCCTTCTGTATTGGAGCATATCATTTTCAAGGAAATACAATTTTCAAGAGTTCAGCTCCAACCCTAATCAAAGACAACTGAACAAGCTAATCAAGGGCTGCGTCTGAAAAATGAGGCATGATTGCCTCGCTGCCTTATGTGGCAATGCCTTTGTAGGCAGCGTTTGTGCACAAAGGCACCTCACGAAACGGATTTCCGACAGACTTCTGACTCTGAGGCAGCGTAACGGTTTAATGATCTACAGCAAAATAGAGCGCGCTTTGGTGAAAACAAAGCAAATATTTAATTACTACACTTGAAATTACATCAGAAGTGGAAAATATTGGTTAAAAACACAGTCACACACAAGCTGACCAGCAACCGCAACTTTCAGACACCATCTTTATTTTTTTTAGCTTAACTCCCACAGAATGGAACACACATGATTGTGATATCAAAGGTAGTGAAGGATACATCTATGCTGCC